GCTGCAGGTTTACCTGAAAGCAGCTAATAGAAGTGTTCTTGTCTTTAACACTCAGATGTCCAACTCCCAATGGGGTCTAAACCCAAATAAATCTGTTTTACCCTGTATAACACTTATGCAGGGTAAACTTAAATTGTTCGCGCTCTATAACACTGATAGAGAGATATGCATGGCTGTTTGCTCCTCCAGGTATTAATACATACTCTGGGTCAATTAAGTAAAAAGTGATTTTATTAAATACAAAAAAGTAGGATTTAAGTGGTTTCATGTAGTAACAGACAGAACAAAGTAAGTCACCAAGCAAAATAAAATAAAACGTGCAAATCTATGTGTAATCAAACTGAATACAGATAATCCACCCTCAGAGATGCTTCAGTAAGTTTTTTCCTCAGACTGGACGCCTTCCAGGCCTGGGCACAATTCTTTCCCCTGGTTCAGCTCTTGTTAGGGTGACCAGATATCCCGATTTTATAGGGACAGTCCCGATTTTGGGGTCTTTTTCTTATATAGGCTCCTATTACCCCCAACCCCCTGTCCCGATTTTTCACATTTGCTGTCTGGTCACCCTAGCTCTTGTTCCAGATCAGGTGGTAGCTAGAGGATTCTTCATGATGGCTCCTCCTGCTTTGTTCTGTTCCACCCAGTCATATAATCTTTTGCATAAGGCGGGAATCCTTTGTCCCTCTCTGGGTTCCCACCCGCTCCTCCTCACTGGAAAAGCACCAGGTTAAAGATGGATTCCAGTTCAGGTGACATGATCACATGTCACTACAAGACTCCATTGCCCACTTGCCAGCACACACATCTACAGGAAGACTCACAGGTAAAATACAGCCATCTGCAGACAATGGTCCTGGTTAATGGGAGTCATCAAGATTCCAAACCACACTTTGCATAATTACAATAGGCCCTCAGAGTTATATTTCATATTTCTAGTTTCAGATACAAGACTGGTACATTTATACAAATAGGAACGATCACACTCAGTAGATTATAAGCTTTGTAATGATACCTTACAAGAGACCTTTTGCATGAAGCATATTCCAGTTACATTATATTCACTTATTAGCATATTTTTATAAAATCATAGACTGTAATGCCACACCTACTAACCAGAGGCCACAAAAAAACAAAAACAAACAAAAAAAATCAAGCTCTTCCCTTCCCCACAGCAGATCTAGGGACAGCACCATGGTGGGAAATTCAGGACTTCCTTCTCCTCCTCAACAGCTGTGGACAGAGCTGGACTTCTCACTATGGCATTGACCTTGCTTTGCCTTTTGTATCAGCCTCTAGCATTGGGTACATTTTCTAATCTCTGCTATTATACTCAGTTCTGTATTTTAATCACACAGTGAGAAGCACTTATCACATTTAAAAAAAAAATTTAAACAGCATTTGAAAACAACTATTTAAATTTTACAATTGGCATACCAAAGGCAAACTCCAGCTGGCAGCTGCCATCTTACAGAAAAGTGACTTGTGACACTAACCGTATACAAGCCAACTCTCAGCAATTTCCTCCCACCCCCACAATGTAATCTTTTCTCCTGCAGAGCTATACAAAAAGGCAGGCTAGTGGAGAAGTTTAAGTAACTCTTCCAAGGACAACTGTGATCTAAAATGCAGTTACCCTTGTAAATCCCACTAGTTAGCAGGAGTGTTCTGCCCTCACTAGGCAAAGAGCACAAAATGAATGTCTGTATATAGGGCAATAGAGTGAATGGAGCTGGGAGAGGAGAAGGACAACTGCAGAAAAGGGAGGAGAGAGAGCAAATAATTCGTTTATTTTCTTGAGTAGTAAGATTTTCAAGAAATGTGAGAAAGTAGGCTAATTTTCATTTTCAGTCTCAGTGGGGCATACTGTATTATTTACATTATAGTAGCACCTGGAATTCCCATTGAGATTGGATCCCCATTGCTCTAGGCAAGTCACTTCACTGCTTTTATGCCTTCATTTCCCCTTATTCCCTGTGTTTATCTAGATAGTCCCTGCCCCACACAGTTTGCTGTCTCTTCTTTGGTGTATATAGTGCCTAGAG